AACTGCTTCACAAACTGGAAATCCGAAATCCCAACATAGGGCCTTCACTTCATCATGAGGCCGTTTTACCACGTGGGGTCGTTATGTTTCGACCAGAAGTTATCGAACAAAAGTTTGAACAACGCAACCAACCGTGAAAAAATAAGGAAAGCTCACATTTGCTAGTTCAGCTGACACACCCCTCACATGTGCCATGGTCAAACATCTTAAGTCGGTCTCCCCACAATTGTTGCTTGAATTTCTTCGTTAAGGGGTCCATGACGATCCCTGCCAATCCCGAATAAAACGTGCGTTGATCACGGCACACATGAGCCCCGAGCAAATTGCAAGGCTTGCCAGGGTCACGTCCTCCTGGATTTGTGCAAAATTTGGGGGCCGTCCGCCCTTCTCGCCCTACCCAACCCAACAGTCCTTTCTTGCAGGGCATGGCATGGCTTGGACGGGCGACCGTGTAGCCAAACCAACCATATATGGCGCCTAAGAGACATTCTTTCAGAAACATGACCGTTTTTGAGGGGCCGTGAATGGGTCTCAAGGCGAACATTTTGAGTGGCTCCAAAAAACTGTTGGGTTGGAAAACGCCTTAAACCCCAATTCCGAGTAGATTTTCTTGATCGGAGAATGTCCAAACTTCGACGGGGAAGCTTCGAACATCGGGCCCCTCCTTCGGCTTCATCACCTTGCGGTACTTGTCCATGGTGAAGCTGCGACCTCGCGACGGATCGACGGATTCGGAACGAGCACCCGTCAAGTGGCCATGAAGAGGAAGCCTTCCAAGTGGCCAACGTGCCTTTGATATGAATACATGAATGTGTTCCTCAAAGAGACCAACGGACCCAGAAAGTCAGACCCACCTGAAATTATCCTCAATGGGCTTGATGACTTGGGGAAGCCATATATTCAGCTAGTATTTGGTCCTTTTCAGCTGGGTCCGACTTTCTGAAGGCTGGCCCGTTTGAGTTATATACATGTGCGTGTGTGCTGGTGCACAACCCCCTTCTTGAAACTACCAAGATAGGTTCCTAGTGCTAACCCCTTCCCACAACTCGGGCCCGGGCTTGATCACAGTGAGCTGCCGAGTGTCTACCACCACAATCAGTGGCTCGCGATGGTGCCCTCGTACCAAACGGCGGCGGTACGCACAGGTTTTTGCCAACGCAAGCGCTTGGCAGGCGGCAGGTAAGCGCTTGGCATCCCTCAAATTAGCGGTTTGGATTGGGAGTTTGGAGGGGGTCCGAGGTGGTTCCTCGGCAAGGGTGTCCAGCCCCCAAATCACCAATCCAACCACCAATCACCAATTCAGGCTTCCCGAGTAATCATGGTTGCAAGCTGGCTTCGCCTTTGAGTTTGTTTGTTTGGAAAAGCCAACGGACCCCCAATAAAAACACCTCAAAGAGGGTCCAACATGATTGCCCGAAAGCAAAGCCCAAGTTAAACATCAGCGAGAGAACAGGACATCTATTTGGCCATGATCCCCAATGTCCAACAGTACAAATCTTGAAGGGGCCCCATTATCCCACAAAAACTAGCGGGCAAGCATTGCTTGACAGGGGATCATGATGAAGAGGAGGAGACGACGCTATTTCACGCAGCGGTTGACCTGAAACTCCTACCTCTGGTCCTATCCTGGCCACCTGGCCGTTTGGGAATGTCAAAATGAGGGATGCAAACTCTTGCGGAAGTTCAGAGAAGACCAGAGGCAAACCAATCATATGGGTTTGTGCTTCTTTCAGGGACCCTTTTCACGTTGGTTGGAAGGGAACTGATCCGAAGACCGCCCGTTTTGAGAGCACTCATTTGGAGGGCCCAGCCCGATTTGATACGCCAACTGTCATTCAACATCAAAACGAATAAGCAAACAAAATAAGTGGCAGTGAAGTCCGGCCACCGCACTTGCTTGGTTTGGACCAAAGCTGACTCTGCTAAAACATCTCCCTTGGCGCACGTTAGTGCGTCAAAATAGGGAGCCCCCAATATGTGCGGTTTTCCCCTTGATGTCCCTTTCACAGGGCACCTCAGGAAAAACAGGTGGTTTACAGGAAAAAACAAAACAACATGACATTTTGAGAACACTGATGGCGTCGTTGTAGGCCAGCGAAACCCACGCCCCCTCGAACTGCTGCCCGACGTTCGCCTCCGCTTGAGCGGCCACCAGGCATTCCTTTGTTCGGGGACCGAACGCTGGACGGTGGCCAAATACAGGCTGTTGGCTGCAGGACTTCCCTGTTCAATCGGCTTTGCCTCGTGCATTTGAAGGTGTGAGCCTTCTTCAGCCTCCCATTTTGGGGGAAGAGGGACCCAGCCCCCAGCTACTGATTTTGATCGCCAGGAACAGTCAAACTGACCCCTCTGGGTTGCCCCACATATGGCAAATGGGAAAGGAACCACCTAGTAAATCACCACACCATGAGACGGATCTGTATCGTAAGAAACCCAAAAAGGAAAAGTGAAAAAGCTAAGCTAAGTCTAGCAATGGTTAGAGGCTTTGTCCCACTTCCTTGATACCATTCCAGAGCCTACCCTTTAAAGGAAGACTTCGTCTGTCGGGAAGGTCACCCAAGTAAAGGCCAGTGCATGTTTTACGGGTGAAAAAAAAAAAGCGGACAGCCCGTGAATTCCCACAACCCCGAATTTAACCGCAACCAAGCGGCAGGGGTCGGGCCTTCGAGCGAATGACCAGCAAAACCCGGCCGCTTTTGAGCCAGCTTCGGCGACAAGGCGTACTTTTTGTTAAATGTAGAAGTCCAAAGTTTGCTAGACGTCCCATTTAAACCTCACCCAAAGAGAATATTCCTCAAATTTGGCACCAATGATCGAACCATGTGGTTTGGTCATTGCTTTGAGGTTAGCAACCCTGACAAAATTGCCGATGGTTGAATGTGTTTAACTCCCCCCCTCCCCACAAAACGAGAATCATACAGCACCCTGAAGCCGCAAGTGACTCGTCTACATTTGTCCCAACCATCTCCCAATGGCCTTGGAGATTTCGATGCACTCTCGATGGGCTATGGCTCCCTAAGAAACCGATGAAAAAAAGACCGAACCTAAGCTAACACATCTCACGAAAGAATCCTGCCCCTCGATTCTGGTTCCAGCTGTTCATCATAGGGGCTCCCCACAAGGACTCCTGACAAAACAAGTCACGAGAAAGCCAAATTAGCACGTGGTTCCGTTGGCTTACGGGCTACGACCGAGGTGGCTAACCGCTCACTTGCGCAGTCATCTGTGGATGACCCACGTGGCAAAACCCCCCAACTTGGCCAAACAAAGTGCCCTGGCCTCCTCGCGCCCTTTTTCTTTGCCCCTGCCGCAACTTTGGCCGCAAAAAAACATCCCCGCGCGAGATTTCGCCAGGAATCCGACTGGTGGGCGCGGGATCGCAGCGGGAAATTGCAATGGCCTTGCCCGTTGAGCTGAGTGCTCGGAGACGTGTAACTGACATGTTGGGCTTTAACGAGGAACATCTGGCACCCATTGCCAAAAAATGAGGAAGGGCTTAAGGGGCCTAGGAAGGGCTTAAGGGGCCTGCAAAAGTGCTTTGTGCCCGTTTGCTTCAGTTGCAGCTCTTATTGGAAAGGCCCGATGACCCGACACCATACCAACAGATCCAACTTCTCCCGAAAAGCCGAAGCCGGCCTGCTCCTAGCCTGATAGTGACCCATCCCAAACCTTCACAGAAACAACAGGGTGTGCCGTCTTTTGAGGGAACCCCTTTTTTGGGGGGGTTAGACACCAAAAGAAGGCCACCCATTTTGGCCACAGTCCGTGGGTCAAGCCGCAGCTTCCCGGTTGGTCCAATTACCTCGCAAGCTCGCCGACAAATTTGGCCGGAAATCGAAATCTCTGGTCACTCTCATTCCTCTGAAGTGGAGCCGGCCAAAGAAATTGAACTATTTGCGATGCGAACCTAGGATTTGTCGGGGTGGTTCCTCGTTTGGTGGGGGATGAAATCATTTTGCAGGGCTTCCTCGAATTAATCGGAAGTTGACATTACATCTCTCTATGGAAGAAAACCCGCCAGCAATGAGCCAGACACCTGTTCTGCTGTTGAAGCCCTCAGTCTCTGTCACCCAGCATTCATCTGAAGTTAACGTGGGGAACTGCTTAATATAAGGGCCTAAACAATTCGAATGGAGTTGTGGGGTACTTCAAATCCATACATCATGATCATATCAGAGCAATGTGTGGCTGTTGTCAGCAGCTTGTTGCATGAATATGTTATATATATATATATACATACGTTTACATATATATATATAATATTGAACCACCGCACAAGTGGTTGGTGAACATGAATCTCCACCGAAAAGATGTCCACCAAAGTGTCCCCTATTCAAGTTCACACCCATATGAGGTTGTCTCAAAATTGGGCTTGGACCTGCCCCCAAAAAAAGAAGTGACGTTCATGTTTGCGTCCCTTTGACACCATACCTTTTCAGGCGTGACAAAAGCCGAACATCCAAACAGAAGGCCAAATCACGATTTCCCGCGCAGAGCAGGACTAAAGGCGGGAAATGTGCGTCGATTCCCCGTCAACTGGGCTTCGCATTTTGCGAAGGCCCAATTTGTGCCAAGTTGCATGGAGCAACCAGAGGAAGGCAAAGCAAACAGCAAAAGTTTTGCGAAAACTGAAACCGATGGTTTGCAAAGACTCGGGAAACAATAACGCTAGGATGTCGTACAAGTCGAGGCTGACGACTGAACCAGCAAAACAAGCAAAACAAAAACTAATGTTCAAGGACTCAGTTGGGAAACCCTAAAACCAACGTTCTGTTTTGCCCATCGAACACCACGTTTCTCGAATCGATGGAGTTTTTTCTCAAAGGGCGGCGATCTCCGCCGCCATGCCCAAGCGCTTGAGCAAGGCGTTCTGCTTGGCGCCTTAACGCTTGGGGGGGGAGGGTCTGTAGGAAGCTGTCGGGGGAAGTGCCAGTTTGGTTGCTTCTCAAGAGAAGCCCAAAAGGTGGAACATACCCTGCGATACCATGCATGTCCATCCCCATGAACCACGTCATTCCGCTTAAGGGGGATTTCCTTGGTATTTCAGAAAGCGACCAAAGACTTTCCATTAAAGTCATTAAAGTGACATCCTCAAAATGACCCAAGCTAAAGCGTGGTGTAAAGGGGCGTCGTACCCCTCATTTTTTGTTTGAGAACCCCTTAAAGCCTATAACAACGAGGATCTGCTTCCTGCTTTTCAAGCCAAGCCTGGGGGAATGGAAGGGTCCCCACTGGCGCGTCCCATTTCCAAGTATCTTCCCACAACCCCTTGAAGCTAGTATGGTGGGCTGGTTTGGTGGGCAACCACAAAAAAGAATTCACCACCAGACCATAGGGTTCAACCCCACCAGAATGATGGTGGACCCGATTTGAATGAGACTCCATAGGCAAACAAAGGTGGTGGTATTAACCTTCGTGGTTTTAATGTTGGTTGGAATATCGGTCAGACCTCCATAGATTTGTCTCAAAAGAGGGGATCCCCGACATGGTTGGGGGGGGTTCTTGGTTCTTTGGGTTCCATTGAAAATCCTCCAAAAGGCCACCCTCAAACAACGAAACACCCCCCATTACCTCCCATCCAAGGCGCCAATGGACAGCACCTCCCGCTCCACCTTCGCGATGTCCATGGACGCCCTCACGGACGTTTTCGGTGCACAAAAAGCGGCTTGGGGCGCGGGGAGAGGCCCAATTTGTGGAAAAACAAAAACAAAAAGGATCCCTTGAAGTTGAAGAAAAATCTGGAGAAATTACGGTGGAACATGGAAAGGAATGCCCTGACGAGAGGAGTGGCTATTCGCATGGGGCTCTCACTGAATAAACGGCCAAATTGGGTGGGCAACACGCTGCCTCTTGACGGCCAACTTGGGTGTTCAATGATTGTTCACCCAAGAAAACCCAAGAAACATGGTTGGTTTCATTGAGAGGTGCCAAAGCGGGGGATCAACTGGCGGTTTTCTCCCCCCCGCCCACCCAAAGCCACGCTCAAACAAAGCTGCCCCCAAGAAAGGAACTTGCAAGCTGAAACTCGAGAACTCTCCAGCCTTTCCCTCACTTCCCAGGTGCATAGGTCTGAGCCTTTTTGTCCTTTGAATGCTCTTCTGTAAAAGCACAACGCACAGGCACTTTGGAGGTGACTGTGTCCACGGATCATCAAGACCATCTGAAAATGTTGAAAACCCCCAAAATCTTCACTCTGGACCCAAAGGTGCGATCCGTCGAGGGTGTTTTTCAGCCCCTGTCACTCCAAGGCGCTGCATCAGGTGGATGGTCTTCGCCTGCTCGTGCATGGTCAGGGCGGCATGCAGGAAATCCTCAAGGCCAAAGCCACCAGCCACCACTTGTGAATTGAACTCCAGGGGCCCAAAATCTGACTTTGGCTACCAACATGGTAAAGACTTGCATGGGCCCTACAAACCATTCCGGTAGTAGAAGCACCTAACACAGCGCAAAACCCGAATCAATGCGATTCAGATCTGGTCGACTCTATTCTATCATTGTAGCCAGCTGGGGAGTCACCAAAACGATGACACTTTTGGGGGGACACCACACCATTTAAAGGCGGCACAAATGACATCTGAATGGGTCCAAAAGAATCGGCGTCACTACTGGGTTTCTGGCACTAACAAACCTCGCCAAGTGTGTTGAGTTGCCTGCTATAGAAGGTAACCAGGGGGAACCAGCAACAAAGAATGATGGGATCCCCCCAAGGGTACCTGCAATCAAAAGCACACAAACACACGCAAATGGGGCATCCCTTTGGTTTATCAACCAACAAATGAAACCCCCGCCAAACTGCTAAGCATAAATGCGACTGAAATTCACCTCTAGCTCTTTATGTGTTTCAACTAACAAGTTGGCACCCTGCAAAAAAAAGAAAAACGAACCCAAGAAAAGGGATGGGCGAATACCCGAAAAGTGTGTGTCTGTACACACAGAAAAAGGAGCACAAAAACATGTCAACAAACGCGCGCCAGAGAAGGCCGAAGCCGACCAACGTACAAAAACAGGAAAGGCTGAGAAAACAATATGCTGGGTACGAAAACAGGAGTGGGGATGACAAAGAGGAGGAAAACGGGAATGGGTACAACACGAGGCTAAAGCATTGGGTGACGACCGGAAACCAAATAAAATGCGGAAAAGGCGGGGGGGGTGTACCCCAAGAACAAGCAAAAAACGGAGAATGGTGTGCAGAAAAAGAGGGGCGGCGGCAGCAGAAAAAGCAGAGGAATACGTGGCAGGTGACAGGAAGCAAAGTGAGAAGCAACCAGAAGCTGTCAAACCCTATTCTTTCCAGATAGCACTACCTCCAGGTTCTACAAGGCTACCTACTATATCCGGTGTCTAGACTGGAAAACGGCGGGAAGCTGAGGTGCCAGGATGGGCACCGGGCGCTCGCCCCCACTCAGCAGCTCCACCAGCCTCGGCTCGGGCAAGCGAATTGACCCCCCAGGTCGGGGTACAAACGGACTCTGAGAGTTGCCATATTGTTGTTTCATCATCGTCGTCGTCGTCGTCGTCGCCATCCTCATCCTCATCATCCTCATCATCATCATCATCATCATCATCATCATCATCGTCATCATCATCATCATCATCATCATCATCATCATCATCATCATCATCATCATCATCATCATCATCATCATCATCATCATCATCATCATCATCATCATGTTCCGCATCATTTGATCATCATTCATCATTCATGGTATCTATTATTCAAGCTAAGGCACTCAGAATGTAGGGGGCGTGGGTTGTGGAAAAGAAGCCCTGTGATACCAAAGTGGGCCGCCCCTACGACTTTGTCACTTCAGGGAAGATTCGCTTGGGACAGGTTTTCCCTGGAGTAGCAGAACCATGCAAAGCACCCTCCCAAGTGTTTCCCATGTTGCCTTGACCGTGTTTCTTCTGTCCCCTCATAGTTGGGTGAAAGTAGACGGCACAATTCTCGATAGATGTGTGTAAGTAAAGGGCTGACTGAATCAAAACTGGAGGAAATGTGCCATCTACTTTGGCCGGTCTATGATTACAATGAGGTGGGGGCTGCAATGGCTAGTACCTTAAACCAAATTGAGTCCCTGCAACTCGCATTTGTCGCCCACTGTCCTGTTGGGGATAAATCTAGTCTTCTCCAAGGGGTTGTGTTTGGGGGGGTGGTGTGTTTGATTTTTGCGACGGGTGCAGAAAAAGAATCCTTCTGGAGGTGTCTCCAAATCGAGCATTTTTTTCTTTTGCGCTCGTGCCAACCAGGCGCGCGCGAACCTCGTGGTGGTTCAGCTCCATGGACTCCAAAGTCTCTCGCCTCGCGTGGGAAACGCCGTGAAAAACGAACCCGCGGTGCACGTCGGGCCAAAGGAAAAACCGCCTGTCTGGGGCCGAATGCAACACTTGAACCAGGATGAAACTAGGCTCAATCCATGAAATATTTGAAAATGAAGCTAGGAACCCAGTGCTTTTGTGGATGAACCACTTACTGAATCATGTGAAACCCGTCACCAAACAAAACCCCTGTGCCTATGGGTTTGTGGGTGTGGATGCCCCTGCCATGTTCCAAGTAAGGGAACAATAAAGCCTCACCTCGTAGCTTGCCGTAATTTACCATGGTTTTGTGGGCATGGTTGCTTACTTGAAGTATTGGGCATCCGTACTATGAGCGGGTCCAGTCCGTCCACTGATGGACAGGCACTGAAGGCCCTTGGACCTGGGCCCAAAAACTGGCCGCTCTTGTCAAATACTCTTTGAGAAGACCAGCGCTAGCTATCTTTGGGTAAACAAGAAAACGCATCTGCAAACTTACAAGTAACTCAGATGTCCTTTGTGAAAAAATAGACGGCACGGGGAAATTCCAACCGAACAGAAGCCGCTGAAATCCATCTATGTTCGACCCAGCTGAAACCAGAAAGGCCAGCTATGTGCCCCAAAGCAACCCAATTTGCCTTGGTCCTGCAAGAAGTCAAACGTTCCATGGGGAAACAGTGTCTTTTCAAAGCCCCCAAACTGGTAGTTGTCCTTTGGGTTTCCCGTTAAGCCAAGCTGAAAAGTGAATGAAAACAACGCCAACCTAAGGTCACCTGGTGGACCTTCTTTCCAACAATCATTGAAGGTGGTCAGCTGCAGGCCTTTTCAAGAAGGCTGCAGTCTTCCAAAACCTTCCCATCGTCAGCTTCCAGGTCGAAGTAGAGGGCAACTCCGAATCCACACAGCCGTCAACCTGTACCTCCTTGTCCGTTCTGTTCAGGGATCATTCGCCGAAAATGGGTGAAGAGGATGGAATTGAAATCCACGTGTCACTCCCGTGCTCGACGTGGCATCTTCTGTCCAGCCGCTCAGCAGGCTCATGGTAGAATGCGAACGGCGAGTGTTGGCGTACACAATAGCGCCACCCTCTTGCAGTTTGAAGCAACTCTGTAAAGATCGGCACATCTGTCTGATCTGCCGGGCTCCTTCCGAAGGGCCGAAGAAACTTGCGCCTGTGGGGCAAAAGTGGCCTATCAAGTTGCCACTCATAGATTGTGGTTGCCTTTCAAAGGCCAGCAAAAGGGAGTCCAGCAAAAACCAAGAGTACGCCGCAAATCAACCCGAGGAGGCCACAATCCCCATGGAGCTAGTTAGAAGCTTCGTTGCCAACAAAGCCCGAGTCTGGTGCCCTTTTTGGGAGAATCTACCCTCAAATGTCTGGGTGTGCCTTGTTTGTTGGGGGGAAACCTGTCCCGTTCTCACTTCCTGAGCGAGTTTGTCGAAAAGAAAAAAGAAAAAACATAATTCTGTGTGCAGTCCAGCAACTCAGGGACTGAGAGTCTTCTTCTTCTTCTTCTTCTTCTTCTTCTTCTTCTTCTTCTTCTTCTTCTTCTTCTTCTTCTTCTTCTTGGGCAAGTGCCCTTTCAGGCTCTTGGCGGAAAGATGACCTCTATGAGTCCATGGCACCAGGAACCGTCCCAATCTCGGGTTTCCCGACACCTCGGGCTCGTCCAACATCTGCTGGAACTCTGCCAGCTCCACACACCCGTCCCCTCGGTGCCGTGCGGTTCTCAGGCGGCTCAGCGTGTCATGCGCCACTTTATTTGGGTGTGTCTTCTCTTGAGAGAAGCCTTTTGGGGTGGCTCAAAAAGGGAAGCCGAAAGGAAACCGTCGGAAGCCAAACAAAAGCAATTCTTGGAGGACTCCCCCTGCTTGAGAAACACTCAAACGGCTCATGTGGGCTTGTTTTAAAATCGGGGAACCCCCAACATGGTGGTTGCTCCTTTGGTTTCCCTTCAACATGCTCCAAAAAGGTACTCTCAAGAAAGCCATGGGCAAAAGACCGAGCCAGGATTATGTGACGCCAACAAACACACGCCTATATTGGTATCTCGTTCTGGGGCAAACAGATTGGTCCCACTGTTCCAACCTCGACCGAAAGCGAGCGAAACCAAGAAAGCTCAGGCCGTGGCCGGTGTCGTCCTGGGCCGCGGGAAGAGTGGGGGTTCCGTGTGGTGTCCCTTGAAAGCCAAAATGCCCCCCAAGCAGTTGCTAAGCTCGTAGGCCAGTCTGGACAACTAGCCTTCGAATGTTTCTTTCAGACTCCAGGCAGAACCCGTGCCTAGGAAGAGCATGACGCTGGCAAACATCTGCACTAAATACTGCTCAGGCCATGGGGCTTCATATCCAGGGTTCATCACCTGCACTAGGCAGTATGCTTCAGCAACCAGAATCAAGGAATACCTTCATCCTGGCTGAGCTCGTTTTACCAAAGCTCACCATAATTTGTTCCAGAACAAGGCCCTCAAACCATACCCGGGCCTGCACTGCCGTTCTTGGCCAGTCTCAGGCATCTCAAGCTCGTAGCATCCCAATCCCACCCAACCCCTCCCCCCCCCACATGCCATCCCTTCCCTTCCCTTCCCTTCCCATCCCATCCCATCCCATCCCATCCCATCCCATCCCATCCCATCCCATCCCATCCCATATTACACAAGAATATCTGGATATGTATATGCGAAGGCCTCTTCATCTCGCGCCGAGAAGCCGCCAGCTTGAAGACATCCCGCAAGCCTCGGTCGTGAAGGTCGGAGCCTGGCCCCTCATGCTTCTTGGGTTCGCTGGCCATACATTGAGGAACCCTCGCCAAAGCTTCCATTCCAACAACAAGTCTCACACCAACCAACAGGAGTCACACCCAAAAGCCCAATAGCACCAAGATACCCAAAACCGTGCAAGGGAGCTTTCGGGCTTGCCGCTGAACTGTTCATCATGACAATCCCGGAAGCACTTTTTGAGGCCCCCGGCGTTTTGCCATCTTGTCCTTCTTCGTCTTTGCCTGGGGCGGACATGGGCGTGCGAGACCTTGTTTGGGACGGTATTTGAATTAAAGTGGGTCGAACGGGGACCCCGAGATAAATCACAGGATCCGATGCATTCAGCGCTTTCCACGACAACGATCCACTTCGTCATTCGGCTCCGCTCCTCTTGAGCCATGTGCGTTGCCAGAATACAGGTGCTGGCCGAATTGGGGAGCAACCCATCTGGTGGGATGAACAGGTTACAAGCCTCTGCTAAGGGTAGCACCAGCCAAGGCAAGGCCCCATTCCGGAAATCGCAAGGCGATAAGGAGCATCTTGGGCAATTTGGCTTCGCCCTTCTCGCCAAATTTGGTTGTCTCTGCTTCAGCTTTCTCGCACTCCGCCCCCGAAAAAAGCCTTGCCCACATCTTGTGGCGCAGGCCTTATGGTTCCTTATCCTTTGGGAAGCTTGGAAAAGAGCTTGGGAAAGCTCTCAGCAGACATCATTTACATGGGGATGTAAGTGTCATTCGGCTTTCTTTTACAAAGTCAGTGACAGGCCGCTTTGGTTCTGAGCCGCACCTACAACAACTGGGCAAAACTAGCTGGTCAACCTATCCTTCAGCAGGAGCTTTTGACTATACAACACAACAGCACGCGGGTCAAAAGAAAACCCTGTTGAAGGCCACTCAAAATGAGAAATCTGTATCTGTTGGTACAATTGCGTAGTGGCAAAGCGAAACGTGGGGTGAAGATTCATCGGAACCCAGGAGTAAGAAATGCTGATTGATATCGATCCGGGGGCCCCACACTATAGAGGGAAGTCGGAATGCTGTTGGGGAAAATCAGCCCAAAAAAAACAACACCAGAGTGACTAACCAGAGAAAAGGCATCCAAGCAGCCTGACTGCTTGGAAGGCGGTGTCAAGTTTTGCGTAGCCCACTCAGGCCCCTGTTTTGGGAAGGGTGCTCCCCCTAACTAACATGGAGCCCGAAACAAGGCTCATTTGCAGGGGGGAGTAATGTCAAAACGAAACGCGCTCAGCATTCGCAAAAAGTCACGTTGGCATGGCATTTAGCCACGAATGGTAGTCAACCCCATTTATCACAAGCATTCCCAATGACTCCTCAAGCATTCCCAATGACTCCTCAACGCCTCCTTTTAAGGATATGGTCTAGTTTGCAGAAGTTGCGTCCTCCTCGATGAAATCCGAGGTAACATTAGGGAATTGCAAGGGTTCGGGAAATGAACCTACGGATACCCAAGGAACAGTTTCATTCATAGAGTGCATTCCTCATTTCCGGAAGCTGAGAGCCAGCCTATGTGCCAACCCATTCGTCCAAAGTCAGCATTCGGCCAAAGACATACCCATTGAAGCGTTTCGCACAATTGGATACCCCTCCAGGTGGTTGGTTTCCTTTTTCGCTTCCCCTTTAAACCGTCCAAGAAGAGAAGCACGATGTTGAGACAGACAAACTTGGATATGTGTTTGATTTGGGGACCCTGGGGTTCCAACCATTCAACTTGATTGCCATTTGAGTGTCTTTCTTCAGCGTACCCTTTTCGGGGTAGGGAAAAACCACCAGTCTTCCCATTGAGCCACCCACCTGGCCCTCCGTCATTCAAACTTTGCTTGGCCCTCCGACATCGTTGGCCACGCGCTCGCGCTCCTTTGCGGCCACCTCCAACGTTTGCTTCAGGAACAGCGCCGCCACCACGCGGGTCATGGCGAAATTCACCACCATCACCTAGGGAAATAGAGCCGCTGTACAGCCACTACATACAGGGTGTATATTTATACATGCGTGTGTATATGCATGTGCATGTGTATGTGTACGTGCATGTGTATGCACATGCGTATGTGTATACAAATACGTAAGGGTATGGGTATGTGTATCTGCAGGTGTGGGTGCAGGGGTGTGTGTGTATGTATGTATACACATATGTGTACGTGTATGAATATATGTATGTGTATGTGTGTGTAAATGTGTATATATATATACATATGCAGATGCATATGTATATGTGTGTATATGTGTATGTATGTATATGTATGTATGTATGTATGTATGTATGTGTGTGTGTATGTGTGTATGCGTGTATGTGTGTATGTGTGTATGTGTGTGTATGTATGTATGTATGTATGTATGTATGTATGTATGTATGTATGTATGTATGTATGTATGTATGTATGTATGTGTGTATGTATGTATGTATGTATGTATGTATGTATGTATGTATGTATGTATGTATGTATGTATGTATGTATGTATGTATGTATGTATGTATGTATGTATGTATGTGTATGTATGTATGTATGTATGTATGTATGTATGTATGTATGTATGTATGTATGTATGTATGTATGTATGTATGTATGTATGTATGTATGTATGTATGTATGTATGTATGTATGTATGTATGTATGTATGTATGTATGTATGTATGTATGTATGTATGTATGTATGTATGTATGTATGTATGTATGTATGTATGTATGTATGTATGTATGTATGTATGTATGTATGTATGTATGTATGTATGTATGTATGTATATATGTATGTATGTATGTATGTATGTATGTATGTATGTATGTATGTATGTATGTATGTATGTATGTATGTATGTATGTATGTATGTATGTATGTATGTATGTATGTATGTATGTATGTATGTATGTATGTATGTATGTATGTATGTATGTATGTATGTATGTATGTATGTATGTATGTATGTATGTATGTGTGCGTGTGTATGTGTGTATGTCTGTGTGTATGCATGTATGTGTGTGTTTGTGTATTTGTGTATGATTGTATGTGGGTGTGTATGCTTGTACGTGTGTATTTGTGTATGTGTGTATGTCTATGTGGTCTGTATGTGTGTATGCGAGGATGTGTGTATGTGTCTATGTGTGTATGTGAATGTGTGCGTATCTATATGCATGTATGTGTATGCGTATATGCGTGCGTATGTGTACGTGCATGTGCATGTGCATGTGCATGTGCATGTGTATGTGTATATATATATATAAGTATATGTATACGTATGTATATACATATCCAATTCTTGCTTGGGGGTAGTGCTGTGGGGGGGGGGGGAATAGCAACCCTGTTGGAGGCATGCCTTCTATGGTACCAATGTAGGCCATCTAGGGATAACTGTAAATCACTGAGACTTCCTGGCGGAATCCTGAGTGGATGAGCCAGTGCTTGGGCTTGTGTCTTCCCAAAACTATATCAAGCAACTCGGAAAGGGAGTTATGATGCCAAAGTAGCTCAGCCATCCTGATGACAACTGTACATTGTCAGCTAGGGAGATGATCCATCGCTCGGAGTGGGCCAAAACAACAACATGAGCATGACCCCCACCCCCGATCAGCCGAACTGCGTGAGCATGGTCGTGAGATGTCATGAGTTCGTGTGCCAGCACATGAACCAGGTCGCAAAACCCGTCCGAAACTTTTAGACCCCCTGATAGATATTGCAAAGAAATCCAGGTGGATCTTCCAACCCTTCCGGGAACATCAAACTCTTTAGGTGGCGAGTTCCTGGAGTGAATTCCGGGAACCCTTTGCTGAGAAAAACTTGGGATGACCCCATGAACCGTCCCCAGTAGTTTCCTTTTAAGGGGATGTGCAGGAATCACCCCTTGGAACTGGAAGCAAGTTCAATCCTTCTCCTCGAGGTCCAGCATACTGCCCAACTGCCCAACGCCCCGCCCAACCAACCGACCGAACTGCATCTTGCCAGGCCGCGAAGGGGATCCAGAAAAACGCGAAGGTCTTATTCACCTGGCAAATGGATTCGCAGGATCCTGCTTCCGCGACACCACGAAATCTCGTGCAACCTACCCCTGACCGGGACTTCCGTGCCCCCGAACCGAAGGGAACGGCGCTGGAAGCACCGTTCTTAGTACTGCGGATATCCACAGAACAATAAACTCAATCAGCGACAGTAGTTACTATCCAAAAAGCAGCAACAATTGTAGGCAAATGTCAAGAATGATGACAATAGACGAAAGCAATTTCATTACCACCGCTACCACTGATGGCGATGTTGAAATGGATAGAACAAGGGGATCATTAAAGCCAGTATCATCAAACAATGTGCAGAATTTTATTAAAACGGGTTTTGGCTATACTGTCGGTCCAGCGTTTCGAATTAACGTCGATGAACGTTCTTGCGTTGGCCCCAACAAACTTAACTTATCGCATAGCACCACGCTGACTGGGACGTCCGTTTCCCCCCAAGGAGCAAAAAAAGATCAACTGGGGCTGTCCGCATTCACCAAAGACCGGCCACAGTCTCCACACCCAGCCCTCCGACCCTGAAAACGCAGAGAAATTACAGGCTTCACTGGTCTTCCTCCAAATTTCCTGGCAGAGTGCAAAGATGTGCCATTAAAAGGAAACCGAAGGAAACCGAGCCTGAGGCTTGGAGCAACCCGGCGACACATCTGCGAAAGACGCTGAGTCACGCAATGAGCACAACCTCCCGTGGGGTGTTTGGGGCCAAGAGGAAAGTCCTGAACTGCAAGTTCTTGCGCCGTGTCCACACCCGATCAACTCCAAGTATTCATACAAATACAGATTCATCCATACCAGCTTGTGCAGATGTTGTCCGTCCACAGTATCTGGGCAAACTGTAGCAATCCACAAACCGAAAATAAGAACTGGATCCCTATGAAAGAAACCTTCACTTTGGCTGACGTCGCAAACCAGAACCCAAACGTGACATCGCTGTTGCCCAGGCTAGAAGCGGACCCGAAGACCACCAGCCCGCTTCACCTCAAAGATCAGAGGCCCGGATGAGCTGACCTCGGCCGACGCCCGCCGAAGACCGATTGGGACTCTTGGCTCTGGCCCGTTCAAAGGAGGTCCCGCAGGACCCACCATTTAGGGATTGTATTGAAAAATAGAAGGGTTATTTCGGAGGTTCTTCGGATGTTTATCTGCTGAGTCGACTGGCCACAAAAGGCTTGAGATCTAAACACCGAAAAGTGCAAAGTGCCCGGTCCAGTTTGCTAGGATGGTGTTTATGTATACACCCTCCCACCAAAAAAATGCAAATGCACAGGCTCCTTCTGAAGCATAGTCGACCAAGATGGCTATAAATGTTTACGTGAGCCTGATTACAACCCAACAGGAACTGAACCCCCGAAATGTGGAGTTAATATACATATATATATATATATATACATATATATATATATATATGTATGTGTGTATTCATGCATATCTATATGTGGGGCGGTACTGAAGCCCTTGCCAACCAGAGACCAGAACCCTTCAACAAAGGCTTTGGGCGTTGCTCAAGTGCGGAGAGGTAGAAGCTTGTCTGTCCGGGAGTCAACCAACCGTAACACCATATGCGGAATGTTTAATAGAAGCTGAGGTTCCCGATTCTCTGTTCAATGCGCCAATCCTTGCAAGAGATCGATCAGGAATAGAACCGATCGAGCAGAACGATATGTCTGATGACACAGCTACACGCTCCTCAAGCAAGCTGGGAAACGAGACCGAAATTGCAAACCGTCTTGCACATGCCTTGCCCTTCCTAGGCTAATCCGGACTGCGTCAATGCGCTTGTCTTAGGGTTAGCTCCCCCTGCGACACTTCAGGGCAACTGGCGAAACACGTCTCCTTGACTCAAGAGAATCTTGGAGCCTTCTTACGAAGTTTCTCTTTCGAATGAATAAGAGTCTGGAAATTTCGATGACAAAAAAAAGAAACAAGTCCCCTTCAGGTTCCTTATGGGGCAAATTACAAATCATGGTCATTTGGCACCCAGGGATACCTGACATGTTTCACAAGTCCGAGCAGCCCATGCGGTCGTCATCGCAGCCTCGAAGAGGTAGTAGGATGAGGAATCTGCATGCCCAAAGCGGTCCTACAGCTTCCGGCGTTCTGTCGGCACAAAATTACTATACCGGTGACTCACAAATTCAACAAGTGGGTGTGTGGTTTTGGAGGGTACGGTGGGTTGGTTTAAAGGAAACCAAAGGGAAAGCCGCCATTTTGGGGGTTGCTCCTATTTGACAGGTACCCAAATAATTCTAAAACGACCTTCATGACCCCTGGTTCGGCGAGCTTGTTGCAATCCCAGATTCTTTCGCGAGGCTAAAGCCAAACGCGAAAATCTGAAATAACGAATCCCCGAGTAAAGGACCTTCCTCATGGGTGAGCTCGTGTTACGGATCCGTGAGCTCGTCATAATAGGAAGCAATCCCTTCCAAGCTGAAGCAGTGACGCTCTGCCTCCGCAAATGTCAAACCTGGAATTGAGCTGGGTGAATCATGATCATTCACCAGCCCAAAACACGAAGCAACCCCATGAAAGGATGTCAAAGTCACTGCAAGTGATGAAGGTGATCCAAGTCCGCTCTTAGATAGCATACCCCCTAGTACCCAAAGGGTTGACCACTCCTGGGCCAATACAACTTTGACACATGTTAGATGTCCCAACTGTGGATTACAACAATTGCACTCTTCAGCACTTCTCAAACATGCATCAACAGGTGGGACATCCAAAACAAAACCCTAGATGCCTTTGTCTTCAGGTCTAAGTGTCCATGGCACAGCAAGAAGAAACGGTCATAGCTAGGACGATGAAACTAGCAGAAGTGTTGAGGAAGCGGGAATGAAGGAGGATGTCCTTGGAACTATGTACCTTCAAACTAAGTCTGGGTGCTTGTCGGAGAAATCCGACCCGCAACTCCCTTGTGCTTGCTTTTGAGCAGAACCCCAGAGAAGACTAACCTTTTTTTGACACCTCGATCTCAAAACTTTGCTCTTCCCCGTGAGCAAAAGGTCTTGCCTTTTGTAGGTTTAAGGGCTTTCCTTTTGTTTCCAAGGTCTAAGGGGCGATTCGGACACACCAAAGACCAGTCATGAAAAAGACAACCTGCGGCCCAAACCACCCAACCGACAAAACCGCCGAGCGTCGTACAAGAACCTGCGGGTGGTCATGTCTAAGGAGGCGTCGAGGATGTAGGGCTGCACCAGGGTGGTCATCCTCACGGAAAAAGAGGGATGGGTGTCCTTTCGGTTTTCCTTAAACCGTCCCAAAGTAACGTACATTTTTTGAGATACAGCCAAACAGAGCCAAAAGTAGACGGTTTCCTTTTGGATTCCCTCCAAAAGGGGGGGGTCACCCAAAGATGACTAACCCAAATCTGCGTTATTGATGCCATGCCCAAACAAGGTGATGGGAAGGAGGGGGTGGAGGCCCACTTGGGAAGGCATTGATGTCGGCTTGCCCATTGAGGTACGCCTACATCATTGCCATTGGCTTTGGAGTTGTGATCGGCCTGCAGCTGAGGCCAGGCTTGAGGGTTGAGGGTTGAGGGCTCCTTGCAGGGCTCTGAAGGGTTGAGGGCTGAGGGTTTGGAAGGATTGAGGGTTGAAGGCGCAACAGAGCCTTGCTGCATGCTTTGCTTTCAGGGGCCTGAAGAAGGAGCAGGAGGCCAAAGAGGCCAAGGAGGCCAAGGAGGCCAGGGAGGCCAAGGAGAAGCAGGAGGTGATGGCTGAGCTGGCCAAGTCGCACCTTGCCTGAGTAGGCTTTTGAGCAGCTTGCTGTCCTTTTGGCAATGAGGCATAGGTGCATTTGAGCCCCTTTTGCACTGAGGACGAAGGATGCTGCCTTTTGGCATTGGGGGCCCTTGCAGGATTGAGGGTTGTTTGAGGGTTTAGGGCTCTCAGAGCTTGAGGGCTGAGAAGGGCAGAAGGGCCTGAGGGTTCAGAAGGGCAAAGGGTTGATGTTTGAGGATTGAGCCCTTTTACTGCCAAGGGCTGAAGCCATCAGCAAGAGGCTCTACAACCTTGAGATGAGGGTGGATGAGGCCTTTTGAGGCTGGAATTGTAGGGGCCTTGAGGCATCCATCCATTTTCATCCATCCAGCCTGCCCCATGCAGGGCCAGCAGATCGCCTTCGCCACTTCACTGGGAGGATGCAGGAGCTGAGGGCTGAGCTGTGCCCCTTTCCTTTTGAATTAGGGGCAGGGCAAGGCAGGTAAGGTCAGGTTCAGGGTGAGAAGAAGGAGATGCATTTGAGATGTTGTTGGGGCGAGGGTGGAAGGAGAGGAGAAAAAATGTGTGAGGTGCAGAGGGGCCCCTGCTCAAGATGACGCACTGGATGCTCATGGAGAAGTGCAGCTGCAGGGCGACCCCTTGCTGTGGGGGCAGGTTTGATGCTTGGGCAAATAGAAGGGTTGAGGGTTGCAGGATTGTGAAGGGTTGAGAGTTGAGGGTTTTGAAGGGTTGAGGGTTGAAGGGTTCAGGTTGAGGGTTTTGAAGAGGGTTGAAGGCTTTGAAGGGTTGAGGGTTGAGGGTTGAAGGGTTGAGGGCTGAGGGTTTTGAAGGGTTGAGGGTTGAGGGTTGAGGGTTTTGAAGGGTTGAGGGTTGAGGGTTGAAGGGTTGAGGGTTGAGGGTTTTGAAGGGTTGAGGGTTGAGGTTTTTGAAGTGAGGGTTGAGGGTTGAGGGTTGAGGGGTTGAAAAGGGTTGAGGGTTGAGGGTTGTGAAGGGTTTTGAAAGGGTTGAAGGGTTGAGGGTTTTGAAGGGTTGAGGGTTGAAGGTTGAGGGTTTTGAAGGGTTGAGGGTTGAGGGGTTTGAAGGGTTGAGGGTTGAGGGTTATTTGAGGGTTTTGAAGGGTTGAGGGTTGAGGGTTGCGGGGTGTGAAGGGTTGAAAAGGGTTGAGGGTTGAGGGTTTTGAAGGGTTTTAAAAGGGTGTTGAAAGGGTTTTGAAA